AAATGTAAGGTGACGAATAAAGAAACAAAACTTCTGGTAGCAGTAGTATTGATAGGAAAAGTAAGGTGACGAATAAAGAAACAAAACTTCTGGTAGCAGTAGTATTGATAGGAAAAGTAAGGTGACGAATAAAGAAACAAAACTTCTGGTAGCAGTAGTATTGATAGGAAATGTAAGGTGACGAATAAATAAACAAAACTTCTAACAGCAGTAGTATTGATAGGAAAAGTAAGGTGACGAATAAAGAAACAAAACTTCTGGCAGCAGTAGTATTGATAGGAAAAGTAAGGTGACGAATAAAGAAACAAAACTTCTGGCAGCAGTAGTATTGATAGGAAATGTAAGGTGACGAATAAAGAAACAAACGTTTGGCAGCCGTAATATTGATAGGAAAATTAAGGTTACTGATAAAGAAACAAAACTTCTGGCAGCAGTGATATTGATAGGAAAAATTTAATAGAACTTACTAAGTTTAATAGAAACTTAAAACATAATCAAAGCTGTATCACAGCCAAATTATTAAGAACTTTAAATACTAGATGGAGCCACAAGCATTAGTCTTGATGCCACCTCTCGCTTGGACTATTATGGGATATTAATGAGGCGTGCAAGGTCAAAGTGTTTTTCCACCCCAAAACAACTTGATATTGTATATGTGTTAATACATAGATAACGAGATTCTGGCTTCAACAGTTACTTAAATCAATCAGCAACGGGTATCATATTTCGCTTCAATAATGTAAAATTAATGACTAAGGTACATAGATATATATCGTGTCAATATGCTCTTAACAAGAAGGTTAATAACCTTTTGTATATATATATACATATAAGAGCAACAACAACAGAGCAAAACAATTAGCATCTCTAAACTAACTTACCATTTACACAGTAACGCCCTCTTGAGTTGGTTAAATATTCCACGAAATGAAGTCGTGGTGACGTTTATAAAGGGTTACGCTTCACTCGCATGAAACATAACCTAATGATTTGTTGTCAAGTTTGAGCTTGCACAAGTTTTCTGAACTTAAAAAAAGAAATGCGCTTTGTAAAGCTTACTTCTATGTTTTAAATGTGGTTCAAATAATCTCATGTGCTTCTTATTTTCTACAGAAACTGCCAACGTAAGAAAGCACAGAGAGCTAAAATTACTTGTTTCAGATAAAATATGTTTGTTTGGTTGTAATTAAGCACAAAGTTACACAATGGGCTATCTGTGCTCTGCCCAACACAGGTATGAAAATCCGGATTCTAGCGTTGTAAGTCCGCAGACATACCGCTGTGCCACTGGGGTGCTGAATCTGGTTCAAATTAAGATATCTAAGTGTTTGTTTGTTTTTTTTGCAATTAAGCACAAAGGTACACAATTGGCTATCTGTGCTATGCCCACCACGGGTATCGAAACCCGGATTCTAGCACTGTAAGTCTGCAGACGTACCGCTGTGCCACTGGGGGCCAGATAAAATATGAAATATATTAATAATATTTAATACGATTAGATTCAAAGCACAAATAATTTAAATGAATAGATTAATTAAACATGGTTAGAATTTTCTTTACTATTATATACGCTAACATTATGTCCTGATGGACTTGATCTAATGGTTAGCGCGCTGGTCTGCAAGCCTGAAACTTCAGGGTTGGGCTGGGCCCCGTTACACCACTGAACACGTTACACTTTCAGTTGTAAGGGTTTCATAACTGTGATATTCAATCCCACTATTCGGTTAAGTTTGTTTGTTTGTAATTAAGCACAAAGCTACACAATGGGGTACCTGTGCTCTGCCCACCACGGGTATCGAAATCCGGTTTCTAGCGATGTAACTCCGCAGACATACGGTTGTGCCACTGGAGGCATTCGGTTAAGAGCAGTCAGTCCTTATGCGGCGGGTGCAGAAGACAGTTTGCCCTCACATTGGTCAACAATTCTAAATTAGAAATGGCTACGCCTGAACCTTAATGGTCTCTGACCCGGACATACATACATACACACACACACACACACATATATATATATATATACTAACAAGGTTAACATCATTGGCTAGATGTAAATAGTAATTTTCACAAAAATGTTAAAAATTTCTGTGATGCTAAGTTTTGTTTAATTTACTTCCGACGCTCGAACGTTTACTTAGATCTTTGTAAAATTACTAAAACCTCACGCATCTTCTTCTCGGTTATTTTTTTTCTTCCATCTCGTTTGATCTATTCTTATCGCAATGAAAGTAAGACAAAATAAAGAGTTATTATAAAAGGAGAGAAAACTAAGTAAAAAGTAAACGTGTCGTGCTTTACGTCCTTTCAGTAGAATTACAGCAGAACAGAAAATCGTAAATACCATTCGAGTATATTTGAAAATATAATAACGTGATACGAGTTCCAGAAGTTTCTGCTATTTGGAATTCCATTCTTTTAAACTTACTCATGTATTTGTTGCAGCACGAACTTACATTTGTTGTTGTTGTTGTTGTTACTATACGTAAGTGTTCACCCACTGTAAACATTAGCTTGAACGGTGGCGTTCCTAGAAAATGCCTAGATTCCGTTGACCAACGCCATCTAAATGAACTCATGGATACAGAAAGCACTCTGAAGCTTGGGTCTGTTTAAAATTAGGAGTAATAAAAAAATCTAAAAACCAGTTCTACAAAAGAAAAGAGAGCCAAATTATATAAATTAATGTTTTGTATTGTTTTTTTCATATTACTTAATTTAAATATCAGAATTATTTTTTTTACCCTTTTGGATACAACAATTTCTTGGTCTTTTAGGATAATTTTGGCTGAATAAGTAATAACATCATAAGAGTGTGCAAATTCACTAGTCTTATCATAAATATAGTTATTACTGGTGGATAATAGAAGGAAAAACCTAATACTAAAGGCTTATTATATGGATTAGCCATTAAACAGACATATAAGACGTTGAGTATTACTTATCTAGTACAAATTGTTCAATTTGCCTAACAAAGTTTAGAAACGTCATTCAATTCTTTGTTCTAGAGTTCTTTAAAACTGTGTTAATCACAGCAACTTCAGAAAACACACACTTCACAAGTTATTTCATAACGATAGTAAAAACAAGGGGCTAAAAATCATGAACATAATACAGTATAAATAAAATAATAGACGAGATAGTCACATTTAAAAGTTTCTAATTAATTATTATATTAATAAATCGTATATTACCTAATCCCGATTTAATTTCTAATGGTTTGTTTGTTATGGATTTCGCGCAAAGCTACACGAGGGCTATCTGCACTAGCCGTCCCTAATTTAGAGGTGTAAGACTAGAGGGAAGTCAACTATTCATAACCACTGAACTCTTGGGCTACTTATTTACCAACGAATAATGGGATTGACCATCACATTATAACGCCCCCACGGCTGAAAGGGCGAGCATGTTTGGTGTGACGGGGATTCGAACCTGCGGCCTGCAGATTGCGAGTCGAGCACCCTAACCAGTTTGTCATGCCGGGCCAATTTCTAATGGTTTGTAAACGTTAGATTGGTATCAAATCACCAAATTTTTGTACTTTATCTAAAACTAATCAGCAGTAAACAACACAGGCGACAAAATATTCTGATGAACAAGTATTTAATAATCTGATATTTTGGTAAACGTGTATTCAAACACAGTCGACAAAATATTCTGGTGAACATGTATTTAATAATCAGATATTTTGGTAAACATGTATTCAAACACAGTCGACAAAATATACTGATGAACAAGTATTTAATAATCAGATATTTTGGTAAACATGTATTCAAACACA